CTGCAGCAAACACGGGCATGTGAACCCTGGCTACGCGTGCCACTTGAATATTAAGTACTTGGACAAGCCATAGGAATGTTGCAGGTCCAAGGGAATCCACAGAAGGACACAAGCTGACACTCTGACAGCTCTTTGTCCCAACTGTTCACAGATGCCAATTGATTCCTTGTACATTTGGATGCATCATGCAGAGATCATCTTTCCTCAGCCCATCCCGACCCAATTGTTCAAGCTGTTAATCTGTGAAACTGCTGCATTTTGCTGCAAAGAGCCCTTTCTGGAGCATCTCTCGAGGGCCCAGAGGGACGCTCACAAAAAAAAACATCTCGCTTTGAGGGCCTGGTTTGGGGCATTTTGGAAATCTGGTCACTGTGAATCATCTCCCCGTGTGTGCTATTTGCACAGCTGTGAGTGTCATGTCAAGACCTTGGATGGATATTCCCTGTTCTGTCTGACCATTTTGCTGGGAGCATCCGTCACAAGCATAAATACAAGCAGCTGCTTTCCTTCTTTTAGTGAGTTGCTGCTTTCCCATTGTCCTGACCCTGCAGGAATATGCTCCATGTGCTGCAGCTAAAGATTCCTCCCCCTTTGCTAATGGTGCTAAGTGTCCTAGAGGCAAGCGAGCCTCCCAAAGCTGTATTATTTAGCTTAGCTGCTGAACTGGGACTGTGCAGGCAAGCCCCAGACTCCCAGTTTAAGTAAACTCATTAGCAGTTCTCATGGCTCCTTGTTCCAGGGATTGTACAGTAGTCACATCCACTGTCATCCTCGTGGGCTGGATTTGTTGATTTTAAAGCCTGTTTCCTTAGTAGCTCGGAGGAGGCTCATGTTTTGACAGACAAAACATTGCAAATGGACTCAGAAGGCACATGGCCTGAAGAAGTCCAAGCCTCCAGCCATCTGTCCTCCTTCAGAATTCCACTCTCTAAGCTGGAGGTCTTTTCCACGGCGCAATCAGGAATAACACCAGATAGCAAAGGGGAAGAATGTGCTTATGCCTGATCCTGACTTGGCTTCCCCCTGTACTTGGCACCCCATTAAAAGGCTTAGAGCATTTATCTCTCCCTTTGAGGAATTCCCTGTACCTGCTGCAAACTCAGCCACAGGCATCCTGCGAGTCAGGGAACCACCCGAGGACTGGGAGCTGTCAGTCGGGAGCATCAGGGAGCACAGAACGAGCACGGGATGGGTTTGTTCCCTATGCCAACACCTGCTCCCAATGAAATCCATCCTCCAGCACACTGCAGTGGTGCACTGAGAGCACCCTGGCAGCAGTTATTGGCACCCTTCCTGGAGGATTTTAGTGATACTACTGCCACTTGAGGGATAGATTTTTGGAAGCCTACTGCCACGAAAGGATCACGGGGATGTTCCCGATGTGCTTGCTCTGGGCAGGTCTGCAGCTGTGTCTTCCCGGTCTCCTGCACTCTCATTCCTCAGCCTGCTGAGAAAGACTCCTCCTCCCTTCAACTGTTTGCTCAGGGTAATTTTCTCTCAACCAATTTCTGCTCCCTTTTCAAACCCCATTCCTACTTCAGACTAATTAGTGCACAGTGGAAATGCTCTTTCATTTTGGAAGTACCAAGCCACCTTTCCCAGGACATTTCTAAAGGATCTCAGCACTGCAGACACACAGTTTTCAAAGTTCCAAGACATTGCTTGAATTTAGCAAGTTGGAAAACTTGTTCAAGTTTGACACTGTTATTTCCCTTATTTTATTCCCTTTCCAAGTGATTTTCTCCCTTTCCATGCTGGCAGAGGAAGATGATAGCTGCTGTTTCTCTCTGCCTTTCTGTGAGTGCCAGAACAGTCCTGCAGGGAGAACAAAGCCTCCCACAAAGGCACCAGTGGTGTGTTTGATTCTCCCCTGCACCACCCAGGGATTCCTGTGCTCCTCTGCATGTCCTTTCCCAGGGAATTCCATCTGCTGCTCCACAGCCCAGCCTCCAGCACTCCAAGAATCCACCCCGTGGGATGTTCAGACTTGCTGTGCTGCCCTTTTCCTCCGGCCAGAGACAATGGGAGTGTCACAGGACTCGGGAGGTGTTTTGGGGCTGCTGGAAACCACAATGGGAGTGTAATTTTTGAGCTCACCTTCCCGGGTTCCCTCTCAAACATTCCACAGATTTTGTGGTGTGCTCAGCTACTCTTGTGCAGCACTTTGTGCTCTGTCTGTGTTCACTGAGCAAGGATTTGTACTTTTTGATCGTGGCTTTAATGTAAGCTGAGCTTGGCCACCTCCCTTCATCACACTTAAAGAATATTTATTCCCTCTTCCCCTCTGTGATGCTTTTTGTTCCACTTTTCCTGGACTATCACCATTTATGCATGTTCTAGGATAAGTCACACTGGATTTAAGCAGCCTTTGGGCTGAAGGGTTTTTATCAAAAGGAGTTTTTACACATACCTGTAGAAGTTTAGTTGCTTCTGTCCACGAGATTGGGGGATCAGAACTTGGCTTGTAAGATCTCTTCCCTCTGGATGTGTCAAGAAAATACAGAATAGGTCATCAGGATATAAAATTCATGGGTAAAAAGCATGAAATTCCCCAAAAACCTTATGTTTTCATCTTTAGTTTGCTAAGTTTTGTTTTCATAGCAGCCAGAAAGCAATGGTTTGGAGAGAAAGTTATTTGCCATAATTAAATATACAGTACAATTTAACTTGCAAAAAACATACTAAACACACAAGGATCCTGCTTGTTTCTTCTTTCATCTACATTTGAACTTTACCAACAATACAAGAGGGATTTGCAAATTATGGAGCTCTGAAGTATTTTAGCACACATGCAGTTATTACAAAATACCTTTTATGCTCATTCCCGTTTGTGTTTTAGTTGTTAATGTGAAATCCCTTTGGAAGTTGGTTCTATTGCAAGTAGAGTGGAGAAATGTTTCATCTTTGTTGGGTAGAATTATATGGTAAAACCTGTAGCATTGAAGCTGGAAAAAAAAAATGAGTAAGAAAACATGTGTTATACAGACTTTTAGAAGTTGCAGTGCTAAGAAAAAGTTCTTCAGGCCCAAAAATTAACTAGACATTTTCTGGCACAAGGTAACCCAAGCTCTTAATTAAGCATTTTTAAAATGAGATATAATTAGACCCTTTATCTAATAATAAAGGTATATCTAATTTTTTTTAAGTAGATATAAGTAGACCCTTATCTGTTGCTGTTACTGAATACCTTAAATAAGGAACTTCACCTACTGAAATATCTTCACCTTCACCCCATATCTGTTCTGCAGTTAGAACTGGGAAAGGTAACAATTTCCTGGGTGGTTTTCAAGAGCTTGCCCATAAGGTAACATTTAACAACAGGCTTGCACACAGGAAAGGAATCAATTTCTGCTCACTTTGCCACGTTTTCAGTATGATTTTAGGACTTGGTCTATCTTATAAAACTATCCTGATCAGAAAGATGGGGAAAACAAATCTCTTTCTTGTCTAAATTTACTCTGTGGAGAATTTTGAGTAGCTGGGCTCCATTAAAAACTAGGTGGGATTAAATACACGTTTAGAAGCAACAGATACAGTCAGTGTTTGGAGAAAGTTCATCTAAGTTGATCAACATAGCATGGCTTCGAGAAATAAATATCTTGGTCAAGTGCCTTAAAAATAGCAACACAGTTCTAAATCAGTCTCAGGGTTCTGGGGTTTGCAGGAGCAGGAGAACATTGTGGCTCAAGGAGCCTGAGGGGAAAGAGAGTTATAACCATATTCATAACCATATTCCTGTTACAGTGTGTGCAGGAAAAAAACCCTCCCTTTTTCCCCATGGTAAACAATCACCATTATTTAAACCATCCAGAAAATCTATTATTTAATCTATTAGCCAGCATGTGGAAAAGGATGATTTTGGGGAGGGGGCTGCTGTCTGTGCGTGTCTTCCAAGACAAAGCATTCCTCTGTCAGAAACTGTGGCTCTTTAAGGCTATAAAAGAGAAAATTCCCCGTGTTTAGAAGATTATTTTTATGAAAGGGTTGCTTCATTCCGTATTTAAATCAAAACATTCTCTCCATTCCGATGACACTGAGATTTCAGTGTCCCCTGTCAGGAGAATCTCTCCTCGCTCTGGATGCAGATTTATAAGGCTCCAGGCACCTTTGAAATCAGCTGAAAGCGCAGCCATGGCCTGGAGCCAAAAGCCCAAACCAGCCAAGGAGATCCACCCAGCAACACCCTCGAGCACCCCCAGCTCTTCCCCTAAGCACAGCTTTAGAGCGCTAGGCTTGAGCTTGTCTCTGCTTTCCCCACCCTCCCAAACGCTTCCTGGGGGATTCCCCGGAGCCGCGCGAGGGCTGTTGGGGATGCAGGAACCGCTTCGCTGCCCCGATTTTCTCACCTGGCAAACAGTTCTTTGCAGGGCTGCTCATCCCGGGGCAAGGGGAATGCTGCAAAACAGAGAAAGCAACGGTTTGGGGGTGAGGACAGGTTTTAAATACAGGGAAAAGAGATAAATATGGCAAACCCACAGAGAAACAAGGAGGGGTGGGGGAAGGCAGGTTTGCAAGTGCTGTTTCCCACTTGGAGACGCACAATTCCAGTCTTGATTTGTGATGCTGAAAGGTGGGACGGCTGGAGGAGCCCAGAAAAGGAAATGCTTCCTGAACTCCCCGCCATGGGATAGGAGTGAGGCCAACAGGATTAAACAAAAGTCTGGGTATTTTACACAGAAGTTAAAACCCAGCACCTTCTGAAAGGGTGATAAACCTAACTGATGCTTAAGGCAATCTGTAATTACTAAAGAGTGTCAGGATGAGGTTAATTGCTGGAGAGCAGATTGGTGATATCTGTGATTTTCTGAGGCATCTCATTCTGAGAATGCACAGCCTGACACGTTTTCCACGTTCCTGGATGTGGTGACTGCCACCTGTGGATTGAGCACCAGGCAATTCCCAGAGCTCTGACAAACCACTCTAGCAGACATTAGGTGCTCAGTACCATAACAGAACCAGGCCTGGCCCTACAACCTGCAGAAGGCTGAGACTTTTTCTGGGGAGAGAACAAACCAGTGTAGTTTTGCTGAGAACTAAAACCATTGGGAAATTCAGACGAGAGCTTGTGTAATTGTGCCAAAGTGTAAATAATCTGATTATTAGCTATCAAATGCAACTCAGTATACTCCTATAGGAAAATGAAACCAGGTTTTAGGATCAGAAGATTTTCATGATAGGAATCACAGTTTGTTATCATGGAATACTGACACTCAGTGACATTTTGTACTGGCAAAACTTCCAGGGGCCTTGTAATGCTCCGTTCTCCTGGACAACACGAGCGTGGAGAAGGAACTGTCCTGCTCTGAACGTACCTTAGGAAGCACATCCTTCCCACCCCGCTCTTGCTGTGCTCAGTGGTGCATTTGGGACAAAAGCTGCAGCAGCCAGTGTGACTCTGTACATCTGACTCCTTGTTGGAGTGCCTGTCACACCCAGCACAGCCAAGAAGTGGCCTCAGCACGTTCTGGCTCGTGGTGCAGCGGGAGCCCCGGGGGCTCATGTGTGACCATGGCCCAGCCAGAAAGAACCACCCCCAGTGCCTCAGAACATGACAGAGAGCCAAAAGGCACCATGATAAGCAGGGTTTTTTTTCCTTTGGCTGTAACAGCCCAAGTGGGACAGCCCTGGGATGTGCCTGGATCAAGTGGGGAGCATCTTTGCTGAAGACATCCCAGGCACTGCAGTTTTATGGCTCCGAGCTGCAGAGCTGGGTCTGTCACACAAATCCAGCTTCAAGACAGCATTACTGTCCCTCTGGGAGGCACTTGGGATGGGCTGCAGAGACAACAGCCCTTAAAAGCTGCTCTGAGAATATGCAGGTTTTTCCATTCCTATCATTTGGGCCTCATCTGAAAAATTAAATGCTTATGTCCCACTGTCAACTATTCTTAGCACTAATTTCACAGTTTAAGCCCAGGGATGACCAAATGGCTTCCTTGCAGTTCTTTTTCTCTTGGTTCACAGCTGGGCTGAGTTTATTTAGTTTGGTGCTTCGGTTGTATCAAAAAGAAGCCGAACTTTTGTGACAGCCTCCATAAATGTTTTAATCAGAAACCTCAATTTCACTTATCAAACTATTTAGGATTGTTTATGGTGCCACTCACCAGTGACAGTTCCCTTGTAGAAGGTACCAAATGCACATTTGCAGTGAAAAACCTCACCTGAGAAACCCTGCCATGTTCCTCCTTCTAAACTTTGGGGCTTGCATTCCTTCTTGATTTTCTTCAACGAGATTGAAAAATAGACCTTCTTGGGGTTCACCCACTATTTCTCACTGTACCTTTCAGAACTGAAATTTTTATAGAACCCTGCTGTATTTATATGAAAATGTGGTTTGTTTTCTTACAAAAGGTGAAGGTTAGGAGGTGTTTTCCTTAAGGGAAAGTAACACAATTTTGGGCAGCCCTGGGTTTGAATGAAAACATCTTCCCGGGGAGCAGACTAACTAGTGAGAAGCCAAATGTCATCCCCGACCTCCCAGGACACAACTCTTGCAACAAGTGAAACAAAATTAAAAATAAATTAAAAATCATTACAAAATTCATAATTCCACTGACACCTTTGCCTCAGTTTCCACTGTCCCGAATCAGTCCTTCCCCTTGTTGCTGGCAGCTTTTATTTCAAAGCCCCTCCCTGAAAGCTTGCCAGAGCAGGCCTGCAATGCCAGGCCCAGGCTGATCCACTCCAGGGTGGGTGGGAAATGCTGGAGAGGATGGGAGGGAGCAGCCTGGATGTGAAGGAATTGGCTGTTTCCTCAGGGTTTCTCAGTGTCAGATCATCCTGCTGAACATCCCAGCTCATCTCCCATCCAGAAATGCTGCTCCTTTCAGATGCTCTTCCCACAGTTCTTATTTCTGTTTCATTCCTTATTCTCCGTTTTCTTTACTTGGACCAGCACCAAGTGCCACAACCTGCCTGCAAACAGCAGTGATCCTGGATAAATCACTGTACAATTAGCACCAGCAGTGTCAGAATGGTAATGAAACAAAGCTGCTCCTTCAGAAACCAGATCCTTTGCATTTCTGATTCCTGGTGGCTCTGAACAGGGCTGGGAACAGTTGCCAGTGCCAGATGAGACCATCCTGTCACTTTTACTCACTAGATGCTTCATGCCACTTTTTTAGGAAGTAAAGCCTGGCTTGGCTAAGATAATCATCTCCTCAGTATCCTCTCTGTAAAATCTTATCCCTTCTAGAAGTGGAATTTCAAAATTATTGATTTTCTGCAAACCAAATGCGTTTTCTCCCTTATGAGAAGCAGACAAGGCTGGTTTGGGACAGGACAACACAGAGATCTTGCCCTGACCTTCCCAGATTCCTGTGCTGGCTCCAGGGGCTTTGCTCTCCACTGCTGGGAACTTCAGGCAAACACATGTACATGGAATAAGTGTGAAGCCTTATGGGGCAAATAAAAATTCCTGCACAAACAAGAGGAATAATAAATCAAGCCCAAGAGCTTTAGGTCAATATGAAGAATTAACCTATTTACTGAACCTTCTGGAGATAAGAGATCATTGTTCTTTGCTTTGAAAAGATTTTTGTTTTTAATATGTGCCTAGCCTCACTTATCTATTATGCTTTGCTTCCTTTTTATTTTCCTTTCATTGAAAGTGAGACCTAACTCCTTAAAAATCATTTGGACTTGATCCTAAAGCACACTGAACACCTCCCAGTCCTTTGGAAAATAATGGGATACAAGAACTTTCACGTCTTAGTTTTCATTTCTGGGAGGTGTTTCCGAGCCTCTGAAATCAGTTCAGAAGGTCCTGGGGGGGTTATTTGCTGAGAAACTGCATTTCTTTGCCTTCATATTGACCTTTTTGCCTGTCCACGAAATCTCCAAGGCAAACTAACAGCCTGTTAGATCCTAAACAAGTTTAGATACAGGTCTGGCTACAGAGGATGCTCAATTAACTGCTAAAACCCAATCTTGTCCTTGGTCTCCC